CCCCAAAACCCCAAAACCCCAAACCATTCATCAAAATATTAAAAATATTCAAATCAGAAAATCATAAGTTTATTACAATAAGGATATCAAAATGGAAGTACAATCAGAGCAATCATGTTCATAGCTATATGAGTTATTTATCACTGGCTTCGGGTAATTTAATAAGGTAGAAGACAATCCAACAACTCATCTAGCTAAATCAATCCCATCACTTTTAGAGCAAAATCCAATCAAAAATCTATCTTTAAGAAGCACTCAGGTTATTTAGGTGGCAATCGAGGATTGTGATCAAGCCCTAGACGATCTCTATGCTTAGATTAATTAAATGCAAAAAGATGATGAATCAAATGAATCTCAGTAAAAAAGGAAATTCATCATTATGCACTTTGGAGTTGCTCAAAAGGAATTGATATTTAGGATAGAGCACTAAGCAGTCAATAATAAAAATTTCCGTATTCCTGATGAAAGAGGTAATCAACCTACTAATGAATGCATAGAGTAGTGTCAAAGCATTGACTAATGTCTTGTAACAAAACTATGTGTTGAAAAGTACGTTGAAAATCTAAAGAGTAAAGGCTACGAATGCTACAAAAGCTTAACAGCTGGGTTTTTCATCTGCAACTACACCTATTATCAGTCTTTGAAACTCTGCAGCGAAAAGGTTTAGGACCCTGAATCAGTCTATGTTTTATTCTGCCATGTACCTACTTTTAAAGCAATCAACTAAGAAACTCAATAGAAATTTGCAATCGACTTATTAAGAGAAATATGCGCTGACTGTGCTTGAAGAATTTGATTAATTTTACTAAATAAAATAACTGTATCATTTATTTATCTTGTAATATTTCAATAATCTAAATTCATCAAAACTTATATAATTAATAAATTTAATCAATTTGTGAAATCTTAAATGGAAAATCACCAATAATCAGATGAATGTAGGTGTAGAGAATTTAAATGTATAATGTAGGTATTCTCAAGAGATAAATCGTTCTATTTATCACTGGGTTCGACAAGTTCTCCAATATATTGGAAAACCCAACTGCTAACCTTTCAAGGGCAATACCATAGTTGCTGGAAAAGAATCAAATTGAAAATCTAACTCTTGCTCATAATCAAGTGGTTAAAGTTGCAATTTAGGACTGTGATGAAGCGCTAGAGACTATTTATTAGAAAATCAATTAGATGCAAGAAGAAGATACAAGCAAGCAAGAGAGTGAAAAAAGGCATTTCATTGTGGTTCATTTTGGTGTATATCAAGGCAGTGGATAATTTGATCTGGAAAGTCTAGGAAAGAATATTATGGATTTCTTTTGTCCCGATGAAAGAGGAAACACTCCTAGGAACTAATGCATTGATAGCAGCTTTGACAGAAAGCACTGCCACTAAACTGAGCTACTGCTTGATCAGCACGTAGCTACTTTGAAATCAAAGGGGTATTTAGTCGAGAAGAGCTATGATGCGGGAGATTACATTTGCAACTACACTTACTATCAATCGTTGAAGAAGAGATCCAATAGTGTTAAGGATCCAAAGAGGGTTGACTCGCTGTTTTGCCACGTCCCATCATTCGGAGAAATCGATGAACCTACTTAGCAAGCATTTGCAATTGACTTATTAAAAGAACTGTGCTAGGAATGCATAAGCAAAGAGTGATGAGGTATAATGACAGGATACTTATTATGTTAATTAAGAATATTAAAATACTATCTAATGATGTCAGTCTCAAACACAAGCGCGGATATCTTTACCTCAGTTAATCTTGGTTTCCCTTAGCACACTGTCAAAAGCATAGATAATCTCAATTTCAACCTCTTGACTGTGCATGTCTTTCTCTTTGATGGGCCAGAGTTGCTCGTACTTGTCAATCTGTTCTTCGAACTCTTTCCTGAGTGGCATAAAGAACTTAGAAAGGAATTCATCTCTGATCTTCTTCTTAGACTCCTTAACGACATTGTTAACTTCCTTCTTCTCACTCTTCTCCTCTTCCTTGAACTTCTTGAGGAACTTAGTCTTGTACTCACTCTTCAGCTTAGTGATGTCCTTTTGCTTCAGCACTCCCTGAGGTCTGGGTCTCCACTTGAACTGCTGAAGGTTTTGGAGTTAGTCGTAGCTGCCAAGAGCCTCTCCGAAGATGTTGTAGAACTTTAGTGACTTCACAGTCTTGTCCAAGGGACTTCTCTTGACTCCATAGATTGCAAGATATCTTCCAGTTTGATCCCAAACATCCTCGAATTTAGTCTCATAGATGTCTTATTTAGCAGTCTTCTTGAATTCGTACTTCTCCTCAGTGCTCTGTAACTTGTTAACTTAAGAACTAAGTCCTTTCTTTGTTACTGGCTGAGCTGGGCCAACGTTTTCTGGTTGTTACTTCAGAATCATATAGAATGATACTGAGGCATTCTTTGGCTCTTGCTCAAAGACAGTGAAGATATCACCAGAGCCTGAGAAGCTGAACTTGGTGACTTTCTCGCTGGGCAGGAATCCAATGGTCCTGGTGATGAATCCCTTGATTGGGTCATCAATCATCTCATAGATATCAACTCCGTTTCTCTTTGCGTCAAGAGTGTAGTCTTTCTTTCCAGCTTCTACTATTCTCTTGGAGAGGGTGTGCACTGCCATTTTTGAGTGATTAGGCTCCCAAATGATAGCAGTGAACTCAAGAACGTCTCTGTTGACGAGAATCTGCTGATGAGGGAATGAGTTCTTTTTAGTGTCGAACAACTCCACGCTGTACTTGGTAGTCTTCTTCTGCTGATACTCGTTCATTACTGCAAGGTAGTCTCCCTGTGGGTGGAAGTAGAGCACGAATCTCTTTGATGATGCGAATGTCTTGATGGTCGTTCTTCTTGAAGGGATTTCAAGGAACCCGATTCTGGGGTGTTGGTTGTCGTCTGAGGGGAAGCAGGAGTAGACAATGATGTTCTTGTGGGGAGCCCAAGCCCAGTCTTCGATTCCATCGACTGTGATCGACTTCTTAACACCTTCATCAGTAGCAATCAATTCCATACCTGGCAATTTGTAGACCGAGAGACCTCTCTTCTCCTTTTCTACTTCATCTGAACCCTCCTTTTTAATTTCTTGGATGAATTTCTTTGCAAGATATTGACCATCGTGAGACCATTGATAAGTTTGGAAACTTTCTCCTGTCTTTTGGTCAAAGTCTCTGATTTGCTCGACTAGCTAGAAATCCCAAACAACGTATGGGCTCTTTTGAGTAGGGGCATAGGTCAATACGAATTTCTCACATGGAGACATGCTAACATTTTCAACCTTAGGCTCTGGGATGGTAATGATTGGTTGCATCTCTTTACCTCCGTGGAACTCAACTTTGTCGTGTTTGATGACAATCAAGTAAGTACCCTTTGGACTCCATAGCACTGGTCTGTCACTTTATAACACATTTTCTATCACATTGCGGCTGCTTGTCTGTTCATGAATCTAATGCCATTTGATATGAACATCTTTGCTTAGTTAGAACAGGAATTGCTCTCTCTTTGTATCTAGCATTGGGTCTCTTAAATCAATAAGTGATGAGCTTTTTGGACCTGAGGCTAGATCCTTGGCTTGCATGATCTTTTCAAAGTCATTGATTTGACTTGCACTGAGCAAATGCTTCTTATCGAATTGATAGTTGTTCATTATTGCAGCAGCTAACTTAGCTTTCTCCTCTGATGAGGCTAAAAAGAAGGCAACTCCCTCAGTCATGCCTTATTCATTCAAAGGCATAGTTATATCAGCCTCACTGAATGTAATCTCTTTCTTTTGATAAAGCTTAATAAGCAGTTGGATAAGTTTCTTTGACTTATCTGCATCACAGATTGGAAGGTTGTTAATCACGAAGTATTTAGAGAAATCTTCGTCAAGTTTTGGGGCATCAGAAACCTTTCTTGGATCTTCAATGGTGAGTTATTAGTTTGAGCAGGCAGATCTGATTTGCTCTCCCAACTCTGGGTTGCCCAAAATTTCTTATTCAAATCCAATATTAGGATATAGTTGTTGAATTTTCTTGAATGATTCACTTCCATTAACCTTAGCTAATGCTTCCTCGAATGAAATACTCATATCTTCTTTATTTAATAATGATGATAATTATATAATATGGAGCTATTTGTATATTAACTATTCAATCACTCAAAATATATGATTACTTTCAGAGTGATGGGGTTTTGGGGTTTTGGGGTTTTGGGG